ACACACCCCTCTCGGAGGCCCCCACCCCCTGTCCACCCCCCCCCCAAGGGCCGAGGCCCCGGCGGAACATCCCAGGGGCCAAGGCTTTGGACACAAGGCCTGCATCCTTCTGGTGAGCGGGGAGAGCCGGAAGGAGGGTGAGAGAGGGCAGACCCCCCCAAAAAAAGACTCCCTCCGTACCAATCGCCCACCCTCCACAAAGACAGAGCCTCCCCGTTCACACGTGCTGAGCCTGAGCACAGCCCAGGTGGGCCCAACGGCCAGGAGAGACCCTCACCCAAGACAGCGACATCCCCCCACCCCACCCCCCGCTTACCAGAAAAGCTGCCTCACAGAGCTTCGCCATCCACTCGGCCGTCTCCTGCGGCTCAGCAGCAAAGAGGTAGGTCCGCTCGCTGGTCTCCAGGCGGAAGGCCGCCAAGCCCTCCTTGGGGACACAGTCTGGGGCGGGGGCCACGCTCACACAGTCTGCCAGCCGCACAATCTTCTTGTCCAGGCGCTTGGTGCCAACCCTGTCGGCCGCAGCCGCCCCCTCCTTGCCATCAAAGAACTCCAAGCGAGCCACGCCGTGAGGACTTGCCGGATACAGCACAAACCAGCCCTTCTTCCATCGCTGCAAAGAGACACAGAAGATTTCCACATTACTGCTCTAAACCAGATGTTATTTGTTTTTTTAAAACATTTTTAATTGGTTTTTACAAATATACACAAACATAATTATTTCATCTTTCAATATAATTCGAGTCTATCTTTTTCCTTTATCGTTTATCCAACTATACACCCTTGACCATCTTTTCCAATGAATTTCGTCGTCTTTGCCTTGCATTATAACGTTTACTTTATCCATTTCTGCTAAGTTTAACAACCTATTTGTCAATTCTTCCTCACTTGGAATTCTATCTGGTTTCCAATATTTCGCCCACAAAGTCCTAGCAGATGTTATTATCATTATTATTAAATACACATCACATTGCCTAATCTTTTCTGGCATCATATTTAGCAGATAGCATTCAGGTTCTAATTCCAAATTCACATCTGTAATTTCCAAAATTATCCTCTTTATCTTATGCCAAAATGTTTGTATTTTTACACACTTCCACCACATATGGTAAAACGTACCAACCATTCTTTTACATTTCCAGCATTTATTTGAGGAGCATTTATTTGAGGAGTGTTTATAACATTTCGCAATTTTTTCTGTTATTTGTTGTTGGCCCAGTTTTAAGGAAAGTGATACAGGGACGGGGGTTCCATACAGCGAGTTTCCGTCCATTAATGAGCCGTCCCTGAAGCGTTGTGGCCATTTCAAACAGTGCCACATTCCCCCCGCCACCGCAGTCTTCCTCTGAGTTTTTTTTTTACCAATCTAAGCTGAGCGCTATAGCGCTAAAGCACAGTCTAGCACCTCCGTGCTCTAGCGGCACCCTTGAGATGCCTTGACTCCATTGTCTGGACTCCAGTGAAGTCAAGGCATCTCCATGGAGTCAAGGCATCTCAAGGGTGGTGCTAGAGCACGGAAGCCCTAGACTGCTTTAGCGCTATAGCGCTCAGCTTAGAACATGCCCCCCCCAAAAGTCCACGGAAGATCATGCAGTGTAAAAGGGCAGGGGCAAAGCGGCATTGGAGGAGACGCCAGGGACATTTTAAGCAGCACGCCACAGCAACGCAGAAGTGCAAGGAAGGGGTAGAAACCAGAAAGAAAGCAGTTTCTCTCAAAAGTGGCTCAGCCATGTTTTGCTAACCCGACGCACGTGGGTTTGTATGAACACATAAATCCTGCTAGCGGCTGGTTACTAAGACGGGTCTGTCTGAAATAACGGGGAAAATCCACAGCACCCAGTTACTAAAACGGAACACGAAGGGTGTTTGAAAACGACCCTCATGAGAGCACAAAGGGCACAGCCCCCTTTCCCAAAAGGAGACCCTGAGGTGGTCCTGCCTGTGAGCAGAGGGAGGGCTGGGAAGGGAGGCCCTCGACTAGCAGAGGAGCACTTCCTTGTCCTGACGGGCACCGCAGTGCTGCCACAGGTACCACCGGGCACGGAGGTCTGAAGGGGAGCCCACAAATGCTGGACAAGCAGAGGAGCAGGACCACTCTGCCTTTGCCAGGGCTCCGCTCAGAGGGGACCCGTCCAGGCTCTCTCTTTCTCCCCCCTGCACATGCCCTTAAGAACCTGCCCCACGTGCATGGCGCGCTGCCGCCTCTTCCTTCCCCAAAGCCTCCCCCCCCCAGGAGGCCAGCAGGAAACAAAGCCCCCTGCCCCTCTTCTTCCGTGGCCCTCGTGAGCAAGGCGGAGACCCCAGCCACCTACCTGACCTGTGCAGCCCCAGGATGATCCTCACCTGACTCTACTCCCCCCACACACCCACCCACCCACACACACTGGTATTCAGGGACTCTGTGCTTCTGGACACGGAGACTCCATGTCGGCAAAGGGTCATCAATAGACATCTCCTCCATGAATGTGTCCAACTCCTTTTCGAAGCCAGCCGAGCACGTGGTTGTGGCAGTGAATTCCAGGAGCGTTTCCTTTAGGGCATCCTGGATCTCCTGCCCAGAGGCTCTAGGACTACATACAAAGGTAACTTATGTTCTTATGTTCTTATGTAACCTTCTCTCTGCTCTCTGTTTGGCCCACCTGATGCACCCTTCTCTGCTACCTCCCTTGATCCTTTCTGATCTGAAAAGCCCCAGAGACTCTTCAGCCTCTCCCCCTAGGGAAGGGTCTCCAGCCCCCTCATCATCTTGGTCGCCCTCCTCCTCCTCCTCGGCACTTTCCCCAGCTCTGCAGGGTCCCTTCCGAGATACGGGGACCAGAACGGCACACAGGACTCCATCCAAATGAGGCTGAGCCACAGATCTATGCGGGAACATTACAAGACCAGCAGTTTTATTCTCAGTTCCTTTTCTAATAATCCCCAGCACGGAGTTTCCCTTTTCTACTCCTGCAGCACATCCGAGTTGACGCTCTCATTACGCTATCCACTGCAGGGGCGGACAAACTCGCTTAACGGAAGAGCCACACAGAACAAGCGTCAGATGTTTGAAAGCCGCACGACATGAACAAATATCACACACATTTTTATTGGAAAATATGCAAATTTGCTTTTTGTTAACATTAAATGAGACTGACAAAAATAAAAACAAAAGGGGTAAAAAAGAAAGGAAATAGACGAGGGGGGGAGGAAGTAAGAGAGAAACGGAGGGAGGGAAAGAGAGATAAGGAAGGGGGAAAGAGAGAGAGGTGGAAAGAGAGCAAATAGATGGGAGGGAGAGGTGGAAAGAAACCTGCTTTAACTTAAAATGTGTCCTCCAAGCCCCCCCCCCGCTGGCTTGGCTTGGAGAAGGGATTTAGAGAGACAAATGCCTTCTACAAGCCACCCCGGGGGGGGGGCTCTGAGGTCTGGCCACCCCTCATCCACTACAACTCCAGTATCAGTTTCCTTCTGAATCTTGGCCTGGTCAGCATGCATCCCTCCCTGGGCATTTGTTTATACTTTTTCTTCTTCCAGTGTGCCTCATCTGACACTCCCCAGCACGGGACTTCATTTGCAGTTTATTGCCCCATGCAGAGAGGGCCTCCTTCAGTAATACCTGCCTTGGTTTTCACCTTCCTGAATCATCTGGTATTGTCCACCAACTTGGAGACGACACTGTTCCAATCCCAGATCATTAATGAACAAAGTGAATGGCACCAGTTCCAGTCCTAAACCTTGTGGGGTCCCCACGGCAGGAACAGTCCATTTATTCCTCTCCTCTGATTCCTGTCAATTTTTAACCCATAAGAGGACCTCTTATCCTCTGTCAACCTTACTCATGAGTGTTTGGTGAGGAACTGTATCAGAAGCAGTTTGTCACTCTATGTCACGCCTACCAGATCACAAAATGCTCCCCAAAGTGGAAGAAATGGGACTTCAAGCCACGGAGGTTCTTCCTCAATAGGGCTTACTCTTCCACGTGTTTAGCAGTTCCATCTTTCATTAACCGTCTCTTGGCCCTGCCTCCCTGCACTGGAGGATGCGCATCCACACCCAAGATACTCTACAGGAATCCAAGCACGCTGAATGGAATACCCACTTGCAGCATCAAGTGCCAGAAGCGTCAATTAAGTCTTGAATCCTTCAGGGAAGGCCCAGTCTCACGTTAAGGTAGTGGCTGATCACTGTACCGTCTTACGAAGAGCAGTTCTTCTTTTAATCCTTGCCCAAACCCTCCCAACAACGGCAGCAAGGGGTGGCTGGTCTGACTGTGAGACTCAGTAGTGAAACTGCCCACATGGTAAGAAGGTCAGTGATCATCAACTGTCAAACTGAAACCTTGGAAAGTCCCAGAAAGCAAGAAGTTGAATTCCAGCTCCAGATGGGGTTCCGGCGTGGACCTTCCCCTCACTTATAAGACCAAGGTGAAGTTGCGGGGAGGGGGGGGGTTGGCACCCTTTGGGATACAGGAGGTTTATTTCTCTGTTTAGATCAAATCCCAACAAATTAGCAGAAACAGCCGCTTTGTTTGGATTTTTCAATAAATACCCAAAGCAGCAGAACTGAAAGACCCATTGCCAACCCCCCCAGATTGGGAGACTACACTATCAAAGTTGCCCAGTGAAGTCCAGAGGGCAACTATTCTTTGAATCACAGAAGAATCACAGAGTTGGAAGGGACCGCCAGGGTCATCTAGTCCAACCCCCTGCACAATGCAGGAAATTCACAAATACCTCCCCTCCCCCAATGACCAGTGTTCCCTCTAAGCTGAGTTAGTCTGAGCTAGCTCACAGTTTTTTAGCCTCTGGCTCACACATTTTTGTCTTTGCTCAAGAAGGATGGGGCTCCGGAGCAAAGTAATTCATGCGGCAGCCAAATCGCTCGCTCACAACTTTAATGCCAGCAGCTCACCAAGTAGAATTTTTGCTCACAAGACTCCAAAACCTACAGGATCCCTGGCCAAACTAGCCTAGAGAAAATTGTTTCCCAACTCCAAAGTGGCGATCGCCATTTCCCTGGGCGTCTAAGAAAGGGCCACGAGAACTAAGTACTGATGCAGCCCTTCCTGCCCTCCCTCTCATGATCTGCCTAAACGCACAGAATCCGCATTGTTGTCAGATGGTCAGGGGTCATTTCGTAGGAAAAGAGGTGCAGGAGCTCATTTGCATAACTCATTTGCATAATTTATTTGCATATGCGACACCCTCTGACATCACCGGAAGTGTGTCAGAAGGCAACACCCACCACTCAGGCTCCACTGGACTGTTTTGGATTGCTAGCTATTGGGGGGGGGGGGACATGCAGATCTGTCCTTGCAGAGGAGGGAGAGCTTGCACCTGAATAAAACTTGGTCTTAAAGGTGCCACTGGACTGTTTTGGGCCGGGGGGGGGGGCTCTGCAACTTACCTGGCTGCTTCTTACTCTGACTGAGGGCTGCTGGGAGCAGGGGGTGGGGCTTGTTGAAAGTGCCCGCCCCCTGGGCTCTTTACTGCCAGAGCTCCGCTCCTGTGCGCTCCTGCAGGAAATTACCCCTGCAGATGGTCATCTAGCCTCTGCTTAAAAACCTCCCAAGGAGGAGAGCCCACCACTTCCAAAGGAAGCCTGTGCCACTCTGTCAGGAAGTTCTTCCTAATGTTTAGCCGAAAACTTCTTTAATTTCAACCCGCTGATTATGGTCCGATTTTCTGGGGCAACAGAAAACCACTCCGCTCCATACAGGACAGCCCTTTGTCCTGCCTGTAAGCATTTGATAGGCAGCAGATATCTACCAAATGGAAAGGCCCAAGGGAAGTAAATCAGATGTCATTTACGGGGAAGGGCCCTTGAACTGGCCAATGCTTTCACTAGCAAAAGGGGAAGACAGCCAAAAGGAGATGAATTCAGTACTGTAGAGCCCATTTACAAAACAGGATTCTAAAAAATCTAACCCAAAGTCTAGCTGAGAAGCCAGAGATAATGACTCCAAAAATATTGCTGAAGAAAATTCCAGATGCTGAGCCAGCATAGTCCATAGCAGCAGCATACTATAGGAGTCCAGTGACACCAAAAAGCCGAACAACATTTCTTCACCTTAAAGACTAACACCATTTCTTCTAGTGAAGCCTATGCTGAAATGCACTGTGTGAGTCTTTGGCTGCAGGTGCACAAGAGGAAGGATGTCACCCCCACCGTGGGAGCAGGAGCAAAAGCAGGGTGGAGCTTTGCGAGGGCCACATCTGCGCACCCCTTCCCCAAGCCACTGGCTGCCACCACTGCCCAGCCCTGTCCCCTTTGCTGGGGGACCCCCCCCCACCAACTGATCTGTGGCTCACAGCTTATCCACGGCTCAGCTTTTAAAGGGCTGGAGGGAGAAAAACCATGCACAACCGCGTCATTTTGAAGGGGAAATGCAGCCCTGCCCCTTCCTTGGATGGGCAGCGAGCGAAGCTGCCACAAAGACACGGATCACCCACCACCCGGCCACCTCTCCTTTGAGCTGGAGCAAACGGGGGGAACATCCTGGGAGCCGCCCACCAAGAGAGCCCCGTGCCAGGGGGAGGGGGCTGCAGCTGGGGAGGGCAGGAGGAAAAGCTCCCCGCGGAAAGGGCCCCGGTGGTGCCCCTGCATCCGTGTTTCATTTTGCTGAAGAACAATTTACCCTGCCCTCCCGCCGAAGCGGCTCACAATCACCAAGCCTCACAGCTGCAGCAGTCAAGGGCAGCTGCCTGGCACCTTTCCATTTAAATTTTTATGTCAGCACCACTACAGGGAAATAGGGAAATTTGGAAACCCGGATTTCTTCATCTCTTCAAAATAGAAGACGTCAAGTCCTGTTCTACGCAGACAGTGTTGCATTCACTCAGGTAGGACCGAGTTGGAGAGGTTCTGTGCACTAAATGGGCAGAAAGATACCAGCTGGATATTAGGAATTCTTTTTTTACAGTCAGAGTAGTTCAGTGGTGGACTCAGCTGCCTCGGGAGGTGGTGAGCCCCCCCCATCACCGGGGGTCTTTCAGCAGTGGCTGGACAAACCCTTCTTGTCAGGGGGGCTCTGGGCTGATCCTGCACTGAGCCGGGGGCTGGGCCAGATGCCCTCTGTGGTTCCTTCCAACTCTGTGATTCTAGGATTCTATCTACAAATTACATGTTTGTTTGTTTATTAAGAGACCTGCATCCCAGAACACTCTGAGCACAACACTGACCCCTTATGAGAATTAAAAACCAAAACCTCCAAAAAGTTAAAAGCTACCACAAAGTTGCCTGTCACAGAAGTCAAGGGTCTGCCAGGGCCAGCCAGCTCTCTGCCAACACCATGACCCCACACAGACCAGCCATCTCTGGCCCCCACGGCCCTGCTCCACCACCTCCTGGCCCCAGCCGAGAAGAGTCACAGGATCCGGCCCTGGGAGAAGCGCCTTTGGGTTCTGCCGTCTCAGCAACACCCGTCTTCTTCACCCCAAATCCTGGGCAGCCACAGATGCTAAGCCTTCACCATCGCCCCAA